AGATAGATAGATAGATAGATAGATAGATAGATAGATAGATAGATAGATAGATAGATAGATAGATAGATAGATAGATAGATAGATAGATGGATGGATGGATGGATGGATGTAGTTTGCAAGGAGGAATTTCAGAAACTGTCCAATTTATCATCGTTAATCATTTTATCATCACACAGACTGATTCTGTCTTATTGCCATGTTATTTTATCACTTTAGTTTGTAGATGCTTTGTAGTTGCAGGCCTGCTCCAAGTCGAAGCCACCATTTCAAATTTAACAAGTCTCCAAGCATATTGCTCCCACTGCTGTTTTCCCAGCATGAATTTTAGCTAATTTAGCATTTCTTGTTCTAAATTTTCTAAATTTCTTTTTTTTTTTTAAAAAGAGGAAGGCTTAATTTGATTTGCACACAGCCTTCGAGGTCTGTTGTCTTTTTATAGAGGAAAGTAATTCAATATTTTATGTGAACCCTGGGGCAGCTATTGTCAGGATTCAATCAATGGCATGACGATAAAGCGTGAGTTGGCACTCTTCTTTATTACAGGAAAGGGATGCAGCACAAAACATGTTTGTGGTTGTGTCATAAACGGGACTGCGATGTGGTGCTCGATGTCTCCTGTCGTTCATTCTTACATTAGACAGATTAGTTACTCGGCACAGCTTAGTAATCGATCCAAACAAGCAAAAAGATAAGTAACTGCTATAGTGTTTCCACTAAAGCATTTAAAAGTGTGTGTGTGTGGGGGAGGGGGCAAAAACTCATATTGACCTCCACAGTTCAGTGACCAATTAGAGGGCAAAGAATGAAAATGTCAACTACAGCAGTCAGTGAGCCAAGGAAGCCCAGAGAAATAAATGCAGGTGTGATTCGAACGCAGATGAAAACAACACAACTTAAAGCAGAACCTTGACAGTCTGTTGCAAATGAGGGCAGAGCTCAGAAATTGCCCTAAATTGTAGCTAGATTGATGGTCTCTCTTGTAGCAGGGAGAAATCAATGTAACACGATATGAGAGATGGTATGAAACATCAGAGATAAATAGATGTGACTGTATCTATTTGTTTGTGGACATATTAATCAAGCCCAGCAGTATATCAAGTCAGAAAATGAATTTCAAACAGGCCAATATAAGATTAGCTAATCAGACAGGTCCACAACTCAAACGAAGTTTTACTGTTTGTTTTTCAGCTTCCGTACATCACACTCAAACCAGGGCCGCGATTTAGACGCACAGTTGTTTTGAGACCAACAATCCCGGGCAAAGTTTTCCTGCCAGTGTATCAAGCCTCCGGAAAATAATGTGGCGCACTAATCCGGAGCTCTCCTTTTCAATTAGTGGGAAGGTCAAGATTGTCAGAAGGAAGCAAATGAAACACGGCTTAGGTTTTAATGAGGCTCCACACTACAGTGAGAGCCTACAACCTTATGCCTGATAAGGTTTTCTCTTTTATTATCGAGTTCAACAAGAAAAAAATCCATTTTAGCTGAAGCCTGTGGTGGATAAAGAGAACTGGTTGAGCGATAAGTGGTTTTCACCTTATTTTTTATTATTTTATTTTTCGCTTTGTATTTTAGGCGCTATTATCAGCTGACCTTGGCTTCTCTTAATGCATCAACTTTGTTAGCTCTTGCAAATAGACTCAGAGGAGTGTGTTGACATGGGTAAGCGGTGCATGAATCACTATTTTGCAAAGCACAACCTCCCTACCTTTTGTAATTTATTTATTTTTTCTATTCATGAGATGTAAATACAGAAAAAAAGACAGCCTCAAAGTCATCCCCGTGTTGCCTATTTCCATGTCTGAGTCTGGAAAAGCCGAGAAAAGATCGTTCATTATCATGTACATATTCCCAGTGAAGGCTGGGATGCTAATATCGGTAACAAGTCTGAGGACTATTTCAGCAGCATATTATGAATGCAGCCCTCCTCCTGCCTGCCTGCTGTGCTCGCCAAAGAATAAAGTGTTCTAGTCTTCTAGGTTGCGGTCTTATTCCAGACTGATTTTAATTTGACTCTTACTTCAGACAAGTCCAATCTCCGCCGTGGTGGGAAAGCACATTCAATCAGCCGCTTATGAGGCAGGTTAGAGAGAGAATGTGAAATGTCTTAGGGAAATAACAGGGGGATTGAGTCTTCATTTGTGCCTATGGGGAGGCAAATTCCGGATAACTTTGCTGGAGACTTATCTGGGATGTTCAGCAGCGCAACAAGCGAATAAGTAATAAGAAGTCAAAGTGCAGGTGCATTTATCAGTTCTTTCGTCAAAACTGGTGAGGAAGAGAGATAATATATAACATATTGGACAATACATTTGATCCTAAGACATCTCTTCTAGCACAGAGAGAGATTCCCATTTTTTGTGAGTAGCTTGAAATCTTTCAAAACATTTCAGGTTTCTTACAATTACAACTTAGAATAGATATTCAGGACATCTCTAATCTTTCTTCATTTTATCAGATGTTATAAAGTCGAAATTCATTCAGTTTACAACAAATATCTGCAGAAGAAATGTTCCCATCTCCTCCCCCTGCCCACTTTTAACATTAAACTGTACCTAGTAAACATCAGCATGTGAGCACACAGGACGAGCTGTAATGATTAATCAGCCGAGTGATTTGTGGCTTCAGGTCAGCCAGGACTCCCTCAGAAGGTGGTGTCAGGTCAACCAAACAGGTGGCCACATTATGAGGTTATGCATTATCGAGTATTTCATTTGCTTATGAAATTTTACATATGTAGACATTTTCAAGCCAATGTGAGCCAGTAAAATAATTTGGCCTTAAAATATATAACAGTTATATTAACAAAAACATTTTTTACAAGAAAATTAGGCACATCAATATACAGAAGTGTTATTCTGTGTGTGGAAAATGTGGGTTTTGGGAGGTTGTTAGAGCAGGCTGAATAATTCACTAAACAAGCTTCAGGCTAAGTCGGTGAACTTTCTCTGTCTAACAGCACCGGCATGGCAGCAGGAAGTCAGGATGCTGGTAAATCAGCCTCAAAAAGAAAAAACTCCACGTATCTGACTGTGCCGGGATAAACACCAACATGACACGAGTTTGCAACCAAGAAGACAAAAAAAAGAAATAATAATAATAATAACGCAGGAAAATTCAATTAAGCTTTAGCTGGAAGCATCTGATAAGTTTATGGAAATTAAAGTTTTATGTAAATCAGTAGTCTGCCTGGCCCAGTGCCAGATCACAAGAGGCTGCACTTTATTGCATTTAAATTAGCTGCCTGAGAAAACTAAGCAGCTCCGCCTAACAAGCCCAAAAAACATTACATGAAATCTAGGGAGTGTGCTGCAGATTTTCAAAAAAGAGATTTCATACCAGCTTCTCATTTCTAAAACCTCACCGTTTGCTCGAAGAGCAATAACAATCTCGATGATAAATCAAAGATATGGCTTCAGCACAGCTTTGCCAGCGCAGGTGCTGTTCGAAACACTTGGTGCAAGACACTCCAGAGACATCGATTATTATTGTTTTACAATTCTGAACAATTCTCCCTTCAATTTCATAGACAACCAAATGAAGACTGTGAGTTAAACTCCAAGCGGAAAGGCCGCTGCAGATTTGAGAGCAGCTCCAGCAGACTGCACTGACACCTTGTGGACAACAGACGCAAGGACAGAAGCTCATGTGTGCTTTTTTAAAATTTAATCTAAGAATATATAAACGCTACTGTGTGTGAGCCATCTCCTTTTTTTCATTTTATGCATTGTCGTATTGCAAGGATATAAGACGAAAGTGCATTTTCATCAGGTATACATTATTAATGTACTCCGGTAGAAACAAAAATCAGTCTTCGGTGACACAGCTCATATTTGAAAAACAAAATTCTCTTTCAAGGCACCAGGGACAAGCAGAGCTGGTGGATACAAGTGAGCTTTGGCCATCGCTGCATCTGGACGTCCGCTTAACAGACGCTACCTTGAAATAGTAGAGGATGTTGTGGTGCCACTGAGCTGTGAGAAGCCACTGTGACAAGACTCGAGACTGGTCATGGAACCCCTAAAAAAACAAACAAACAAAAACAAATCGACAAACAACATTATCTTAACTTGAAGACGTAGTTACACCCAATCAAATACTAATCAATTATTCTAATCACTGCGGCAAATAAAAGGCAGCTTGCGCACAAGCATAAGGAACACACAGTTTGCACAAATGTCCCTGTATATATATTTAAAGTCTTACATAAGACCCGTGCAGTGAAAAAGAGCCTCAGTATAACACCAAAAAAATAAAAATACCAAACTGACCTGAAGTCACAGGAGGCAAGGACCTCGGTGTAGTACATGATTTTACACTTGTGGGAGGAAACCTGCAGAGAGGCCAGCACATCATCCACTCGAGGCATGCTGGAGGCTGCGCAGGCTGCGGAGTTTAGGAAACGCCACTGGAGGATGTAGAAGCCGGGCCAGCGTGTTATGTGGGAGCCCTGTTTCAAACCAGAGAAATCTGCAGGATCAATTTGTGTTCGCTGTGACGGAGGATTAAGCACTTAAGACGGCGAACGGGGACAAAGGAAGGTTGTCTGAGACTGTTAAACAAAGACAGATCAAAAGAGCTTTTTATGTCCTCTCTCACCTGCACACTCTCTCCCTCCCTACACATGAGGGCTTTCTCCACCATGCTGTAGTCCTGGCCTAGTACCCAGCTCTTGTCTATAAGCTGTGGATTAACAGCCCCTAGGGAAGCGATACCATGAGTTTCCTTTCTGGGAGGCTGAGGGGCTCTCCTAGAGTGGTAGATGTTAAATACCACATCTCCTTTAGACACATCAAAGTCCCATGTGATGACAGAGGAGGCCTCTGTGATCTCTATCAGCAGCTGTAGAAAGATGTAAGAAGATTAGAAACACAGGTCTGAAGACTGCAATTCATTAATCACGCTATATATTTTAAGCATGCAATGCATAGTTGTTCCAGTAGGTGGCACTATTACACAATGCATAAACTCTATTAAACGCAAAGAAATGTCGCCTTTCTTGCCCTGTTGTTAACTCTTATTGTCATAAAACTGGAGGCAAATCATAAAAGTTGAGACTGCACCTCGTATGGAGCCCCCTTGTAGATACTGGCACTTTTATAGATGGAATCAGTCAACAGGCGGTTTTCTTCACTCTCTAATTCTTCTGCTGTTCTGTACAGAAATTTGGGAACCATTCCTCCTTCAGGAATGTCACACTGAAGAAGAAGAAATAAATGTGATTAAAGCAGAACGCTTACTAATATATATCAAAATATATGTAGACATACTAGCTTGTTTTACAATAAGCATAGTGTAATAAAGTAATATCTTATGTAATAAGTTTTACTGCAATTCATATGCCATGAACTTAGATATGCAGGTTCAGTTAAAGGATAACCTTTCTCAGTATGAAATGCCATTTTATAGTTCCAACTAGCTACAGCTCTTTCACTTTCACGTTTGCAGCTGAGCAACAACTTGTTGAGTGCTCACAGAACTAACTGAACTGTCACAGAATTCAAACACGCGAGTCTTCCTGTAAGGACATTGTGATGTGCCCCAGATGCAATTTTTTTCCTTTATGTCAACAAAAAAAGAAAAGAAAACTGAGCCAGCTGAGCTGAGGCAGATGTTCACTGGCTAGTGGGTACAGTATGTTCTGGTCCTATCTGACAACCTGCAGCTCAAAAATCTATACAGGCCTCCAATATATCATTTCTTCATAACAAAACAACTCAGGGTCAAGGACCTGAAGTGCAAGGTGATGTTGACTGGATTTGTAGAGAAATGTCTACCCAGATGTAGCTATGCTAAACTGGTACATGCTGGTGAAACCATATACTGCAGGTATGATATGCATATTTCTGGCTGGGCTGAGACTGACTTTCACAGGTATGGTCAATAAGCTGAAGACTTAACCTCACCATGCAGTCTCCTTGCAGGAAGTCAGGGATGATTTCTCTGTCGATGTAGTCTACCAAACCTCCTGGACCCTGGTAGTCGTTTCCAGCATAAACAAGGAACTTCTTACGAGTGTTTTCATCAATAAGGGGGCTGACCTGGTGGTGAGACCGAGAGAGCATGCAGGAAAGGGCAAAGTCACTTATTATGGACTGTGAAAGCCAATCCATAATCAATGAATAATTCAAGCATGAAAAATGTACATGTTAGCTGGTTGATGGTGTTACTAAGCATCCATAGTATTTTGTATTGACATCATCGTTCCAGTAGCTCATTCTCTTTCTGTAATTTCTTACAATCCTGCCATCCATGCTACTGCATACAGCAAAGATTAAATGTGCCCCTATGGGTTTTAGTTTTACAGTCATCTTTCCTGGTCCATAAATAGATTTTTCTTTGTTTATTAGTTGCTCATTTTTCCAGCATGGCTGGACTGCACTTAGCTATTTATAATCTCTGCATCTGTACTCTACAGCTTTATGCATTCTTCCATATTCAGGTGATGCAGTCAGTTTATTCTCACCAGGGTCCACAGCACAGGGAAAACTCTCGGTGCCCGCAGTATGAGCAGGCGACCCAAAGTTTCAGGGTAATTGGCCTCAACAATTTCGATGATTCTCAACAGCGCCTTAATGCCAGGTCGCCACAGATGACGCATGTTTAGACCGTCCAGATCCACCAGGCAAGTCCAAGAACTAGCGACACATAAAAACAGACATCGCATTGTTTTGGTTAAAGTGCACTGCTGATTGCTCATTAACCAATGGGACACGAGCAGGTTTAAACTAAATACGATTTAGGCACCTAATAGGTTGTCCAAAAACTCTGGTGTTTTCCTCACAGCGCCTCAGTCCCTCCTCATTAATGGAAAGCACCTGCAACATTGTCACAGTTAAGCGCCAACTTCATTTAGAATATCTTCACTTTTTGCTTTGTTTCCATGTAAATTAAATCATAAATTTATATTAAATTATGTCACCTGTCTCAGCAGCGCCTCCTCACCCAAGGCTCGTACTAAACCTTTAGTGTCCATTTGACCCAGACGCAAAATGTACAGAGGACGGCCATCTGAATGAGAAGGAAACACAGTGAACAATCACAAACTGCACTGCACACTTCCACCTGTAAACAAAGCTGGTGTTTACCGCTCTAGAAAGGGTATCGGTTTAGCATGTAAACACTCAAGGGGAACATCCTGTGTTCAAGTCTTAACTGTGATCAGTTGGATCAGCTGAGCTGTTAAAAGCAATGAAACCTTTTCCAAACATGGGAGTGAAGACATATGGTGTTCAGACTTTGCAGTCAATAATTAACAGGCTGTTTGAGAACTATATAAACACAAAAGCTTAAATCCCTGTGGCTTTTAAGATTAGCTGATAAATTTTCCCTCCGCCTGGAGTAAAAAAGCCTCACAATAATGGCAATATCAACCAGCGTCGCTCACTCAGTACCTTTGTCGTGGTGGTGCCAGCCTCCAGAGTAATAATCCTGGAGCAGTTGAGGGCGCTTCCATGTGTCTAACAGGAAATCCACCTGATGCTGTCTCCTCCAGGTCAGTGACTGGCAGAGGAACTCCCTGGCCTTGTCGAGGTTGAAATCTCTGGCCCTGAGGAAGCGTAGCACATGCTGATCCTTTGGAATCTGTACATGAGAGGTGCATCGTTAAAGATGCTGATGAATCCAAAGCATTTTTTAATGCTCTGCTGGTGAAAATCTTTGCAAATTGCATGTAGTGCAGTGAAAAAGAAATTGCGCCCTAAACTGAATAACTGGTTTGCTTCGTTTGCAAAAAGGTCCTGAAACAGCAAAGGAGCCCCAGACCATTACACTACCACCATGTCTGACTCTTGGTTTGATGTTCTAATTATTAAATGCTGTGTTAGTTTTATGCCGATGCAAAGGGACTCAAACCTTCCATAATGTTCATCGTTTGTCTCTTTCTTATTGTGGAACCATGAACTTTGAGCTTATTTGAGATAAGTGAGGCCCGGAGGTCTTAAGATGTTGTTCTGGGTTCTTTTGCGATCTCATGGAAGAGTTGTTGATGCACTCTTGGTGAAATTTTGGCAGGCCATCTGCTCCTGGGAAGGTTCACTACTGTTCCAAATTTTCTCCATTTGTGGATAATGGCTTTCATTGTGGTTGACTGGAGTCCTAAATCCTTAGAATTGGCTTTGTAACACTTTGCAGACGATGGCAATGACTTTTTTGCACGGGGCCAGGGAGGTTTGAATGACCTTTTTTCCTTAAATAAATAAAACAATAATTTAAAAAATGCCTTTTGTATTTACTGGGGTTACCTGTATTAAACCTATATTAAAATTTGCTGGATGATCTGATAAACATGATAAATATGCAAAAAACTAAGAAAACAAGAAGGGTGCAAATACTTTTTCACAGCACTGTATGTCTCTGAACATCAAAACTGAGCTAGAGTAAGAGTGGAAGCAAGAGGGAAATAACAGGTTGCGTGAGTGTCTTAGAAATAAAGGCATACTGTATATCGCAGCATCAACTGTTCACTAATGAAAGAAACTGTGTTTGTTTATTTGTGACCTTGCCCTTGTGGGTTTCCTGCAGCCATTGACGCAGCCGAATAAGACAGCTCTCCTGCAGAGGCGTTAAATCACCTAGGTAACGTCTGATGTAGTCAGCATCCAACTTGTCTACAGGTCAAAACACAATAACAGCATAATGTTACACAATATTGCATCCAACAGACTGAAGACTATGGTGCAATTTCAGCGTTTTTGAAAATAATTAGACACGGTGAGTTTTGCAGGTTTTTATCAAACACTTAAAATGTTGCTTTTGTTTGTTTGAGGTTTTTTGGCAGTGCAGTTATAGGAGGATTCCTGCACTGCTGTATAAATCACCCACTGATCTATTTCCCACACTTTTAATATCTCAGTTGGTAAATTCACTCTATGTATTGTTATCTTTTGACATTTATATTAAACCTTTGCTGGGATTAGCGAGCACACACTGACCGTCAGGCGAACCGGTCACTAGCTCTGCAGAACATGATGAGTCTTTACAGTGCAGCCCGTCCTTGGCACTGTTCACTGGGATGGCTCTGGCAGCAGAGGGGGGCGGCAGCTGGTGCCTCCAAGTGACTGTCCCAGAGTCAACAGTGGAGGTCCAACGAGGTATATAAGTGACTCCTTCTTTCTCCAGCTCTCTGAGGTAGTACTCAATAATTTCTTTACCCTTCATCAGTTGAAGGAAATGAAAGACTGAATTAATTTTGACAGTTAGGGAAGCATCTGGACCAAGACGTGAAGGCAAATGAAGTAAAATATGCAAACCTTTTTAATGCTACTAGCATATTGCTTCATTGCTATCTTCTCTGCGGTGCTTTCAAAACCAAAAAAGGACTTAATATCCAGACTAGCCGACTGTTCGAAGCAAGTCCAGCTCTCATTCTCTGGATGAACCTGTGGAAGAGGACACGCATATGAATTTGAACTTGAACCAAACTGTTCAACCAAACTCTTTGTTATGTAAACAAAGCACAAGCTGAGGTTTAATACAAAATATTACATCAGTGCATACATGGTTACATATCTCGTCATCACAATTTTAACTGCCTTTTAAGTAAATGGTAGGTTCTGGTGCCAGGTACTGCACATACACTCACAAGCCACTTCATTAGGTACGCCTTTTCAACTGCTTGTTACTGTAAATATCTAATCAGCTAATCACTTAGTAGCAACTCAGTGCAGACAGGCATGCAGACATGGTCAAGACAATCTACTAAAGCTCAAACTGAGCGTCTGAATGAGGAAGAAAATTGGTGCCAGATGGGTTGGAGTATTGCTGTTGTCCATCTCTTTATGACTACAGCGTAACACATCATTTCAGAAAGCTCAGATCATGCCAAACTGGTTTCTTGAACATCACAATGAGTTCACCGAACTCAAACGGTTTCCACAATCGGCAGATCTCAATCCAATTGAGCACCTATGCAACTATGTGATGCTATTATGTTAACATGAACCAAAATTTATTGAATTTGTGCCACGAAGAGTTAAAGAAGATGAGAAGGCAGCTGTAGCAAGGTATACCTAATGAAGTGGCTGGTTCAGTAATTGCAAAATTACTGTCATACAAAATTCTTACTTTCTTGTGTGCAGACTGCCACATGATACAGAGCAGACATCAAAAAGTTGTGCGAAGTATCTTTTAACAGGGAGAGCAGTATTATAGTAACTCTGACTGAGACAACAGCAGCTTTAAAGACACCTGGTGACACAAGCTCTTTAGTGCCTTGAGCACACTATGGGAGGATCACCTAAGATGAATAATTCATGCACCACATATTGCATTGCCTTTAGCAGGGACTCTGTACCATCCGGCAAGCACTAGGCGTTGTAAAAGTTTATATAAAAACAAAGAAATAAACCTCCTACACGCTGCCACATTCTAAGCACCTGATTACCACGTTTAACTCTCAGACTCACCGTGTAGCTGCACCTCTCACGGACAATGACTCTGTTAGAAAAAGTCTCATTGTGAACCTCAATATGGAGGGTCCTGTCTCTGCGGTTCAGAGAGTTTTTTTGGATGAAGTACAGATAATCCACGCCGGCGATCTACATGCAGAAGAAGCAAAAAAAGCTACATTTACAGTTACTGCAAAAAGTCACATCTTTTATCCTCCAATAACATGTGCAAGGCTGAAATGCATCATTTACAAGTATTTCACTAAATAAAGAGCATCTGGTTTTTGTACTTCACAAAAGAAAGATCACATTATAGTAACCAATTCCTTTGCTTTACCGCCCTCATCCCCTATAAGGTCAGAGTGGAAGTACCCGTTTGAGAAGTCGTGGGGCTTCGATGTCGATCGTACAGCGCCTCTCAGTCACCAGCACGCATCCATCATCACTTTGGCTCTCACTTATGATCTCGCTGTCCACAAACATTGGAATCAATGGACACTTTGGGAACCGTCTCACGTAGGCCTGAAAGACATTTATATAGAAAAATTGATTGATTGGGTTTATTATTATGTTGTCTGTATTAATGGCTTGCCTGGGTCCATTTAGTTTGTTCCACTGGGAGCTCTGCCTCAGTGAGGTAGCTCACTGTTAGGAAGGGAAAGCTGCTTATAGAAAACTATAATCACAAAGGCTGACTGAATAGATTTATAGCACTGAACTACTGTGTCAGGTTAGGGTGCTTTTTTCTGTAGTTAACAACTTTAGTTTATGTAAATGCCTATTAAAATGTTGTGTTTTGCAGACACCAACAGCCTGCAGCATTTACAAGCAGTAATTGCCACGTGTTTTAAAGACGAAAGCATGTGACCATCTGCCCTCGCCACTATCACCAGGGCTACCTGTATGCATTTACTGAGCTGCCAGGCAGGCGTTTCAAGATCTGCAGTAAAAGATGTTACTTAACAAGGGGCAGTGCAGCTTCTGATAGCAAACTATTGACAACTAAGCAAAAGCAGGGGGTGAACTAGACCTTTATGATACGGACAGCTGCCTGTGTAATGGTGCGGATAGAGGGATAAGCATTTCACCATGGGATAGAAAAGTGCCGTCAATGTCTTGAGGAACTGCGTTAAGCAGTAAAATCACTAAGTCAGCCAAGACTTAAGATTTTAAAAGTTTAAAAAGCTAAACTCTCAAAATCACACACACACACACACACACACACACACACACACACACACACACACACACACACACACACACACACAGACAACCTCGCACATCCTGCACGCATCAATACAGCACAGCGTATGAACAATCCAATCAACAGGATGAAATTATTCACTAAGAAAATTATTGGGAAATGTTTCTGTGCTAATTAAGCAGCAATGACTGGCGCTGTGCAACAGGCAAACTAACAAAAACAGTATGTTTCACTGATTGCAGACAAATTGAAAGCTCTGTTCTGCCTATTCACCCTTCAGCATTATGAGCATAACCACATAATGGAGGCACAAAATATTTAATAATATATATAAGGGGGGGGGGGGGATAAAACATGGGCCAAACGTCAGACAGACAGCACTTTTCAGCTCATTCAAATCATGTTTTACTCTTCTGCCGATATTGATCAAATGCATTTCTACAAGTGTCGTCCGTTTACAGGCACCTAGCTCTGTTACATAAAGCCCCCGGAGAGTCATTAAGAGATGTCATGACAGGAACAACAATGGTGTCAAGGTTAAACATTCAGTAATATCCAGGACACTGATTAGCACTGTTAGCCTGAACAACAGCTGTCAGTAGCATTGAGGGAGCTAATGAGAAGCTCTGAGGTAAATGGGAGCAGAAGAGGATGTTAGCTGTTCATTTGGATTCTCCTCTTTAAGCTGTCGCAGGCTTCTTTCTCTTCTTAAAGGAGCTGTTATTTAGCTTTCACAAAGGGCTTATTTTGAGAGTCTTTTCAATAACCTGCAGTGACGCAGGAAGAATTTCAGACCTGCAAATGTTCCATGGGGAAGCATCAAATGGCTTTGGTGTAGGTGTTATCCACACAGTCTATTGTGTTAACTCTGTATAGCAGCTGCACGGCAAACTGTAACCGCTGCAGCATCGCAGTCTCTACAACCCTTCATCAAGGATGTTGTGCAACACTTTGGCTTAATGTGTAACTTAAGAGAAAACACCAAGAGCAGACCGCACAGGTGACGGTGCCCCTCACGGAAATCCGTATTTATTTTTCTTTTGTCCTACTTTTGCTTTGCCTGGTGTTCTTGTGCTTATGGTTTTAGCCCAAAACTGCAATTTGCAGTGATGGGAAAGCAATGCATCAGTATCATAACAAAAAATATTCCATTTAAAGAAAAGCCAGCTTATAGCATGGAATTTTAATGGATTTTTCCCCCTGTGTAACTATTGAATACTGTTGGAATAATGGAAAGTGAGTTATATAAATATAGCTGCAAAGTTTTCTGCTGACAAACTCTCTTTTTCTTAGCCTTGCATTTTGTTTGCTTTCTAAAAGATAAGAGAACTGGTCAGCGAGGCACTTACATAACTTACAGCTGTTCTAAAAAACGTCCTACAAAACAACTCGAGAACTCCCGACCTCTGCCCAGGCAGCACATGATAAGAAAACAACAACCACGCTGAATGACTTACAGACACCTCAAATACACACTCACCAGCCACTTCATTAGTTACACCTCACTAGCACTGGGTTGGACGCTCTTTTGCATTCAGAACTAACATTATTTCTGAGACGCTGGAAACATTCCTCTGAGATTTTGGTCCATATGGACATGACACCATTACACAGTTGCTGAAGATTTGCTGATTTCACATCTTTGTGGTGAATTTCCCAAAGGTGCAATCTATTGGACTGAGATCTGGTACCTGAGGCGGCCAGTTGAGTACAGTGAACTGTGGTCATACAGCTTTGGACATGGTCAGCAACAATACTCAGGTCGGCTGTGGTGTTTAGACAATATTCAGCTGGTACTAAAGGGGTCAAAGCGTGTCATGGAAATATCCCACAATCATTACATCACCAGCAGCCTGAACCACTGATACAAGGCAGAATGGAGCCATGATTTCAAGCTGTTTACAGCAAATTCTGACCTCACCATCTGAATGTTGCAGAAGAACTCAAGACTTATCAGACCAGGCAATGTTTTCCAATCTTCTGTTGTCAAATATTGGTGAGCTTCAGTTTCCTGTTTTTGGCTATTTGGAGCAGCGCTCGGTGCGCTTCTTCTCCATCTGTGCTGTGCACTCTGCTTACGTTGGCAGCCCAGTATTACAGCATTATGTAAAACACCATTTCACACTTTGCCCTTACAAATGAAATATACACACATAGCACTTGCAGTAACAGCAGAGGGAGATACTTTATTTCAAGCCAACATGAAAATAATCATGGGAGGAAGCATTTAAACTGACATCATTAACACATTTACATGTAAATATATACTAGCCACCTAGCTTAATCGTTTCTGGTTATTAAGGACCCTTGAATGTACTTCATGTGTTTTTTTACTCACTACTGACTTCTTGGCTTTAAATATACTATCTCCCCCTGTCGGTAATGCAACCATTATCTTTTTTCCCTCTCCAAAGTTAGAAGTGGACAGGGTGTACCGGCGTGTTTATTACACGTTTTGCTGTGATACTGGGTTGACTTTGGCTGTAAGGAGTGGATCCTTTCAGCTCAAAACAGTCTGGTTATTCTCCTCTGATTTCTGACATAAATAAGACAAAAAGTCTAAGAAATGTAATTCTAATGCAAAAACAAAAATCACAATAGATCAGCAGTTTACAAAATACCCCGAACAAGAACGATGCCACGTTCAAGGTTACTTAAATGACTTTCTCATTCTGATATATTCTTGATTAAACCCCACAACCTTTGCATTTGCCAGACTCTGTATAGATAAGAAATAACGAGATTGACCGAAATTTGTCCGTTTTTGATATTTGCGCCAAACGAGCAGTTAAAATGACGTACCAAGTGAAGTGGCTGACTGTGAAGCACTATGGTCAACACTGTTGTTTTAATATGTGCTATATAAATAAATTTTGATTGATTGAGTGTCTATATCAGGGGTCGGCAACCCTTGGCACGTGGTGAAGGGTTAAGTGGTGGCACAGCATGCAGTGAAATAATCTGAGAAGGTGTATTTAAAAATAAATATCTAAGGCTGGGCCACCAATGCACATCACAAATTAGCTCACACAGAGCTAATGACAATACAGCTAATGGTCTTTTATGCCAATTTGGACGGAAGACTTTGTGCAACAGAAAGATCGTGCTGTATGTGCCCTTTGCCTCGAGAGTGTTGTTTGCCAGACTTCCAGTGTTAAACGACATTTTGAGACGAAACATCAAAAAACCTTCAAGGATGAGGCAGAGAAAGTTGAATCAATTACACGTGCTGTGTCAAGATATGAGAAGCAAGCAAGTACTCTAAAAGTTTTTACAGCTGCAAAACATCATGGAACTGAAGCAAGTTATCGTATTGTTAATGCAACGGTTGATATGGCACTTTTTTTAGATGGCACTTGTCATCAAAAAGGTTGCCTACCCCTGGTTTCTGCATAACCATTCAACATCAAGGCCAGTTGCCAAACACTAAATGGCAAGTCTGGTTTTGGAAAAAGGAGTCTTTATTGTGCTGTGTGTTTTCATGCAAAAAGAAAGAAAAGCACCCTTCACGTTATTGTATTTAAAGCAGCACAAGCAGGAAAGAAAAAATATGCAGCATTCCAGTAAGTCAATAAACACGCAGCACAGACTGCAAGTAAGCGAATATCAAGAATGAGACAAATGACTATCTGAGGCAGACAAGGCTACTGACTATTTTCTGAAAGTGTCTGGTCTCTTTTACATTGCCACCTAACCATGGAATGAGCTGGAAAACTTTTGAAATCTAAAATTTATTTATTTATTTATTTTCATGAGAGGAAAAGCTGAACAGCATTTGGATTGCAAAAGGTCAGTGCCCTAGAGTGAAAAGCAGATTGCCAAACTTTGATCCCTAGTTTGTGTATAAAGGATATTTTGCAAATATGAAGCTCATATTCAATGCTGTGAGCTAGGAGGCTGCATATATACATAAGCACACAATCTGTGAATTTAAAAGATTCCTCAATATAAGCACGTCACTTACCGCCATTATCAACTCAAACGGGTGCTTGTAGACCCGAACAGGGGACTGGTACTCCTGCACCATGGCTGAAGCTCAGTCAGCAGCAAACTCTGTTAAACTGCCACAGAGATATGACACGGCAGCTGTCAGTATAGATTAGTGGAAAGGGCACGTCTTCTTCTTCTTAAAAAAGTCTACATAACATGAGCTGAGTAAAGGTCAATGAGGCGAGAAAGAGAGGACAGTGACATTCACATGACCATAATTAGGGTTGAAATATAAGCTGTGTGCTGCAGAAGGAGAATTTCAGAAAGTTTTTTTGGAACCAGTTGGGATGTTTTGATCCATAGAGTAAATGTCAAAGTTCAAAGTTTGTTACAATGTAATGACACATAAGCAAACACAGTGACAAGCGGTTTCTATAGCGGAAAGAAAGACACTTTGACTTACAGAAATGTTTTCTTTCCGTGCCGGCAGGTTGGCTTACTGTAGCTGTCCAACTATATGAGGGTCCATGTCGTCAGCTGAGAGAAGAAAGCGAGCCTCTCGCCTACTTTCCTGCAATGAAAACCGCAAAAGAAAAACATTTCCTACCCGTCACTTTGACCGTACAGCAGACTTTTGACTCCGCCCCCTTTCGGCCAAACAGGAAATCAACGTGATGTTTGAAAAAAAAAAAGTCGTTTTGGTCGCACATTTTCAAGCAAAATTTCATCCGACACTGACAAACACAAAATGAACAAAAGACTGTAAATTCGTGATTTGTTTTTTGTTTTTTTTATCTGTCTAACATTATCGAATATTTTCTACCGCCTTTCTGGACTCGGACACAAACGTAGGAGGGCATATATACAAAGCTTTTTAAAGCTGTTGTTGTTGTACCTTACCAGACGACATGATAAACACGGAAAATGTTTTAAAAAATATGTCAAAAGTTTGTTAAACAAAAATAATGTGTATTGTTGTTTATTAGTTTGTTTATATTGTTGTTTATTAGAAAAATGACAAACTTCACATTTTTAATCTAATTTTGAAGTCAGAAATTAATGAAACAAAATATTTAAACAACTAAAACGAATTCTGTTCAGAAATGCATGTAAGTTGCTGGCATTTGTCATCTTAATAGAAAAATAATAAAGACAATAATAAAAACAACGGGCTTTACTTGTTTTTCTTCTTTTTTTTAAAAACTGTAAATTTAAAAATTCATGGATAGCAATAATTATTAACATATAGTAACTTAGCATAGTAATAGCAGTAATTATATTTATAGAATTAAATGTGTTATTTTGATCAAACAGGTTGCACATATTGGTATTTTTATTTGCAAAAAAAAGTGACTCATTTCCCAGTATTGTTGATTTAAGTCACGATCCTTTCATTGGGTCAGAAAGACAAGAGGGGTCATGATTAGTTCTCTAATCTACAGGTGAAACTATATATATATATATAATATACCCTATAATATATATATATATATATATATATATATATATATATATATATTAGGGGTATATATATATATATATATATATATAAAAATATGTGTGTGTGTGTGTGTGTGTTAATGAGAGTTAAGGTAATAGAAACAAAAAGAGAATTATGATTATAAACTCATGGCCAATAATAAAAAGCTGAGCAGAGGGGAATTCTGACTGTGTGGTAGGATGTCCAAATCTAGCAGCTTTAAAAATCTGTGAAAAAAAACCCCAAAAGCTTTACCCCTTTAAAGAAAGGGTTGGATTTCCTAGAGCTGAGCCCTTCCATTGGAGCACAGCGTAGCTCTGAGTAGCTCTTCAAAGCCTTGTTCAAATGAATCAGATTGAATAGATTGCTCATCATCTCTAAACTGTGCCTCTGGTTTCCAGCAGAACATTTCTCACTAAGTAGTGCTGTTATAACATAAAACATGGCATGAAAGCAAAGTGAAACTATCATAAGTCAAATTGTCATTCTAAGTGAAGAGGGACTCCTCAAGTGTCAGATCATGACTAGACTGAAGCTTTCTCTAAAAGGCTTTGTAGATAACAGATAAGTTGTATCTAAATCAGACTCAGGAAGGTGATAAGTGACCATGCCATCATCAGCCACTAACCTCTACCATTATTAAAGATTTGTAGGGCATAAAGCCAAACACTCCAGACATTACAAGAAGCTCTCTGGAACACTGTCACATTGTGCTGGGGCAACGAGTGTACTCTGCAGACCAAAACTTTCTCAAACACATGTATATTTCATTAGACACTTAAGCCATTGCTCAAATTATTAAGCTCATTTTGTCATTTGCCAATTTGTCAATTAAGTTAAGAACTAAAACGACAAAGATTATTTGCTACTGGCCACAGACCTTTGGACTGCACTGAATATACAATAGGCTTATTAAATCCATCACTGCTGTTCTGCCTTGTTAGAGTGATGACAGGCATGGCTTTGGTTACTGGGACACGTTTTTCATGGCATTATTTTGCAAAGGTGTTTACTGTGTCCTCGCTGCCTAACATTTGCCGTCCCATGGAGATACAGCTGGTCCCACATTGAGACTCCAGAAGCAGCATCTGTGGGGGAATTCAAAGGTTCTGGATCTGGCAGCCTACAAAAGGTAGTGCGGTCCAGCGGGGGACATCCTGAGAGGGGGAAGTGGAGTTCAGATAAGCTGTTTCTCCTAATCAGCCTCAGGCACAAAGAATAACATTACCACGGAGCAAGCTGTTCTTACCAACTGTCTCTGCAAAAAATATGGATCAAACTGCACCTCGGTTGTGCAACTGCACTGTCACTCTGTTTTTTATTTCTTGCAAAGTACCACAAAAGATGTGACATTTGTTTAGTTTAGGTTTAGGTTTTTTTCCCTTTTCCTCTGTCAGGTTGTCAACCGTTTTAAAGGTTTGGCATTAACAAAACTATGATTTCAGCTGTTGATGGTGCTAAAAAACTGAAAATGAAATCACGGCGAGTGTACTTAGAGACTGAAAGACTTAATAAAATGTGCTTTACATAAAACTGACTGTGTACTTCCGATGAAACCAAAGTCAGCCATTACTCCAAGACAAGTTTTTCTGTTTTCCTGCGTGGGTGTTTTAGTTGTTTTCACCGTGGGTGTAAAAGTTGGTGTGTCTCTACCATTTGATACTCTAATTATGATCAAGGGCCATAAAAAGCATCCTTGACTCTATTATGACAAAGATGATTACTTTGAAATTCATATCCTGCCATATTTCACAGCCTAGGCGAAGAATATCACAAACACAATGACTCATCTACTCCCTTTGACTAAAATGATCACCTACACCCTCAGATGTTTGTGGTAATAGTCTGACGGGGGAAAATGCACACGGAAGTTTACTGATTGTTTCCTTTGAGCTCGGCTCATCACCTCTCTGAGCTCATCATTCTTTTCAGTCCCTTCTCAGCTCCCATGTCTAATTAACTGTAATAATGACTAAAGCACTTTAGATTTATTTCTGTCTTCAATGCTGCCCAGACTTCACAATGACTCCACGCATTTCAACCATACAGTAGAGCATTGCATTCATGCATTGGTAATTCAGAGCATAAATACATCTCTTTTGATCTGCCTTTCAGCTTGATATGAATAAGGATGCCCAAATATGATTCTCACAAATGAAATTGTCACGCAGTTTCCAAAATTAAAGCACCTTATGGCCTTGGAGAGTCTGTATTTAAAGCACATAAAGCCATAAATATCAAACAAAAATCAGGAGAAGCTGGATTTTAGTTGTTTCTGCTTGGAATATATATTACATTTTTTATTTATTTATTTTTGTTCAACATTAATTGAATAAGCAAAATGCATGTGCAGTAATGCAGATGAGGCTCTTTGCAGTTAATTCGTTTAAGTGATTACAGGTTCCTCACAGTTTTTCTCTTCTGTTTCTCCTGGGAAAGCGCCTGAAGCAACAAGTCAGTGTTCATTAAAATGGAGGCTATTTAAGAGAAAAATAATAGGCCGAGCTGTGAGGAATTTCAAATACATTTCAGACAAACAGAGAATTATTCTGGAAGGCTCCGTGTTTAGCAGCATGAAATAGATCATTTGAAATTCAATTTAAATACCCCCTACCTGTTCATACCCAACGTGCAGCAGATGAAAAAGACTCCACTGTGAATTGGATGTCTATATGCATACCTGTTAATTTATTTTAAGACGAGTATTGGATGTTTTCAGGACGCCCAGCAAGGGGTCGATGCCCTGCAACTGCCAGCGAGTGTGTGGACCACCTAATTACAATACTGTGCAAAAATCTTGAACCACCACTCATCTCTTTATATTTTGCTTCCAAGGAGTTCCAGTTCTCCATGAAGGACTTTCGAAGTGTTTCTTTGGATATTGACTGCTTGTTTCTTTGTTTTCAGTCGAGTCCTTGTACCTGACCAGAGGAATGCTTTCTTGTTTGTTTGTTTGTTTGTTAAGTCACCAAACACGGACCTATGAATCATTCAAGCATCAAAACCAACTCAAACACACACACATAACAGAACGTTTAGAAAAAAACCAGCTATAAATTTTATCTGTTACAAAAAATATAATTTGTTCCCATTTTTTTTAAGTTGAATCTATTGAAAATGCCAACGATAACACAGTGTGACAGACATAAAATTATATTTTTGACATGATGATCACCAAACAGCTGATAACTAAACGCATATCTCAGCTTGGTGTGCAGTGTGTCCTTGAAGAATCTGAGGAAACTGGATAAGTGGAGGGCAAATGGAGAAATGGCAAACCTAAAAAACTATCCAGATGAACAGTAGCCATTTTTAAGGAAGGAAAACAGGGAGAAAAGGTTGAAATATGAAAAATTCCACAACAGCTGAAATGAAAAATAGCAGCAACAGATCTTATGTATCGATGAATCCAAATCTGATCATTCTGCTTCAAAATGTCACCAATATGTGGCTGTATGTATGTTTGTTTGTATACGTTTCCATCAACCTGCATCCATTTTCCATTTTCCTGAATTCTTTTAAACACTGACACTGATCACAAAACGTTTAAAAAATGAGCAAGTTGACTTTCAGCTCACAGCTGTAAACCACCTGTTAACTAGAAATGGACAAGAAAGAGTGATAAATTAGCTGAGCAGTTATTAAGTAACTGGAGTATTTAACCAAACACAGTGATGGAAAAGTCAGACAACATGAGTAATAATTGCATGGTTGAAAGTAGAAATAATAGATAAACTGTGGCAATATTGTATTCTTATTATAATTATTTATTAACAGTAGGACCTGGGAGGGTGGAGCTACACTTGTTAGCAATGTTGCCTCACAGCAGGAGGGTTGCTGCCTAGCTGGAGCTTTCATGTGCATGTTCTCCATGAGTCATTATTTGTTTTCAACAGGTGGGTCGGTTTTTTCTCACAGTCCAGCGCACCCGTGTAAGGTTAACTGAGGATGTAGCTGTGGAAGAAGGTGTGGATGTGGGTATAAATGGTTGTTCCAGTCTCTGTTTGAACTCAACTGTAGCTGGGCAAGCAGTTAAGAAAACTTACTTAACTTACAAAAATACTTGGTTAAAATGTGTGTCGACTTATTACAAAATATGAACAAACTACTGCAGTTTTTTAAGCTTTCATTAAAAAGGTGAAAGGTCAGCACTGTTTTGGCAT